AGCTGATTTTTTTATCCACGAGATATTTTGCGGTGTCAATAAATAATAGTATATCCTCATTCAAAAACATTCCAGCCGGTTTACCCCAAGGATCTATCCTCCCCCCATATTATATTCAATATACGTATCAGATTTTATACCACCAAGACACATACACGTGGCATACTATGTTGATTATACAGCTCTTATAGCTACAAGTAAACTTACGAGTGCATTACTTAAAAAAATGGAAAAGAGTATATTTTCCATTAAGAAATATTTCCTCAAATGGAAAATAAAAATAAATAATCAAAAAACTCAATGTATATTTCCTTGGAATAAAATACCTAAAAGAGATCCTTGTAGAAATTTATCTTTCCAAAACAACTCACTTCACATATTAAATGAAGTAAAATATCTCGGCGTTATTTTGGACAAAAAACTCACATTCCGTTCACACATCGAAAATTCGTGCAGAAAAGCTATCACTGCATTCCGAGCATAATGGCTCTTTTTGAACAAGCGCTCCTATCTTTCTCTCAAAAATAAAAACCTTTTATATAAATGTTTCATTAGACCCAAAATGTCATTCGCATCACCAGTATGGCATGGAGCAGCATAAACACATCTCAAACGCCTGTAAATCATCCAGAATAAATGTTTGAAGATGATATTCAACCAACCTTACGACAATATTACATGAAGATACTGGTTACGAACTCATAATCGATTTTATAAACAGAATTAATGAAAACTATTTCAAAAAAAATTTAGATTCTCCTTATGAAATATTAAGAGAGAGTTGCGATATATATTAATAATAGAAATCAGGGACGTACGCAGACGGGGGCCCGGGCCTCCCACGAATTTTTTTTTTCACATTAAATTTATGTTTGTAAAAGCGAATTTTTTCATGTTGTACTACCGGGCCCCCTGAAATGAAATTCTGTATACGTTGCTGATAGAAATGTTAATCGCCATCCAAAAATATAGTTCAATAGTTAATTATTTTTCTTTAAAAATAAATCAACTGTGCACTCATATTTTTTATATCATGACCCTTTAAATTTTAATAAATCATATAATGTTTTTACAATCCTTTTTGCCTTAAAACGTCAAATCATATATTTAAGAAAACATAAAATTTAGAGCATACTATTTGTTGTAAACCTTTTTATAAATCTCAATCCTTGTAATGTACATATCTTATACTAGATAATTCGTTAATTTGGATTAAAAAAAATTGAATTGAATTGAGTTCCTACAGAATTTAGTTTTGGTGAGAAACTAAAACAAAACTCTTATAGCGCATCAGTCATATAATGTTTGTTGATTTTCAGGGACCGGAAATAACAGTTATTTTTGAAAATGTCAACGAAAAATTCTCCATGTTAGTGACATTGGACACCTATAGTGCCATATACCTATATATTCGTCATATTCCTATACACTCTTATTGACGGGGCCATTAAGAATATTTAGTGATGTTGAGAAAACACTCTAAATTTCTAAATGTGAAGTCTTATTATTCAACGGAAAAAATAAACGTTGATTTTTAACCGTTAAAAATGATTTTTATATTTTCCTTTAAAGCATTAATTGTTCGTTTACATTCCTATTCTATATTTTACAGTACCTGGCTGTATAATATTTGCCGTGGAATTGACTTAGAAATTGTAACACCACGATTCTATGCAAAGAGCATTGGTTCTTGTAAAAAATTCCCTGGAAGAAATTGCATTACTGGCGTTAAAACCTTACGCCACTGGCTAATGGAACTGGCGAATGAAATAAGTGAACGCTTAAATGAAGATATTGTTCAAAATAAACGTCGTGCAAAGCATATGGTTTTTAACTTTGTCCAAGAAATTAACAATGTCGAAATATCCAGTTCTAGATCATCTCCATTAAAATCATATGATGCAGACGTTATTGTAGATACTTGTATGGAATTAATAAAAGCAAACACTAAAGTATTCTTTCGACCTGGTTCCAGTGGTGCCATCAATAATCCTATAAAATTTTTAGGAATAACTGCTGGAAAATTTGAAACTCTCTCTACAAAATCTGTGACACTTCAAACTATGTTCGCACAGCAGGCTGCCAAACGTCCAAAACTTGACATTGATAGTAAAGATGAGCACATCAATAATAGTAATAATGACGTACTTCAAACTAATCCCATTTCTTTAAAAAAAACAACACTTCAAACTATGTTCGCACAGCAGGCTGCCAAACGTCCAAAACTTGACATTAATATTAAAGATGAGCCCTTTACTACAAATTCAGAAAATGACGTGGCCAAAAATGTTGATGATGAGTCAAACAGCCATATAAGGAAAATGTTTGTACATCAAACTGTAGAACTTGAAAAAAATACGCAAGACGAAAAAAAGCGATACTATATGTTAAGCCCCAAGAACATTACAGTGGCAGGAATAGAAAATACTTGCTCGAAATATGTGGAAAATTCGCAGCTGGACTCGAATTGTTTAAACGAACATAACAATGGTAATGTACCAAATATTACTCCGATAAAAGAACTGCAAGCAACTAAAACTTATACTACAAATAGAACACAATATTCTGCCACTAACGAGAAACCAGATTCATTTAAATTAAATTCTGAAATTCACTTAGTTCCTAAAAATACTATAAAGAGTACTGCCGCTAACCAGAAGCCAGATAAATTCGAATCTGAAATTCAGAAGCCAGATTCAGATAAATTCGAATCTGAAATTCGTGTTATTCCTAATAATAGCATTAAAAGTATGTTTGAGAAGCAAAGTACCAATAAAAAACCTATATTACAACAAAGTGACAAAATGACTGATAATACTGCAATGATGATGGAGAATAAAACACTTGTCACAAATATGTCTTCGCGGAACACAGAACTACACATCAACGAATGTTTGAAGCCAATTGAAGAGGAAGAGAAAGTGACGTTAAATAATTCTAATAGTTATAATGTCCTACTTCAAACTAATCCATCTTTTATGAAAAAAGCAACGTCTTTAAATAATGAAACAATTATTAAAGTTAAAACAGAAACTGTGGAACTTAAAAGAAATACGGACTATGAATTTCCATCTGTATGTTGGCAAGAGGATAAAAAGCGCTACGGTATGATTGTCATCGAGAATGACAACCATAAAAAAAATATAAAGTTTTCAAATGGTCATCATAATAAACTAATGAACACATTTAGTTACATAACGAACAAAATGCAAGATGATACCGCCATTCCGAGTGGTATAACGACAGGAACTGAAAATACATGTTCGAAATATGTAGAAAATTCGCAGCTGGCTTCGAATTGTTTAAACGAACATAATAACATTGATAATGTATCAAATATTACTCCGATAAAAGAATCAGAACAAACAAACGCTTGTATTACAAATATATCCACTAACCAGAAACCAGATTCTGTTGAATTAAATTCTGAAATTCACTTAATTCCTAAAAATTGTACTAAAAATACTGCCACCAACCAGAAGTACGATTCCAATGAATTACTATCTGATTGTCACGATATTCCTAAAAAATACATTAAAAGTGTACTCACTGAACAAACTATTACTAAAAAGTCAATATTAGATAATTTTGCAAATAGCATTTCGACTGATAATATTACTATGATGGTAGATAATAGAATGCTTAGCACAAATGGGACCCTAAGACAAAATAATAGCAGTAATGACTCATTGCTTAAGCCCACATATTTTATTAAAACGGCGCCTTTAAATAATGAAACGAATGTTAAAGTTGAAACAGATAATTGCTTTAAAGATGATAATAAATGTACATCTGATAATAATCACTCATTGACACCCGAGCAAAGTCCCTCCGCTAACTCCGCCTTAGAAGTCAGCAATACACAACAAACCCCTGCGGAAGGTAGCACCAAAGCTAACAATAATTCTGAATTGTACAAATTAATTCAGGAATTGGAAAAAGTTCAAAGTGATTCGGAAACAGCGCCAACTTATTTTTATTTAAAAAGAAAGTTTGACGAAAATTCTGAGCAATATAATATAAAAAGTTATCGATCTGAATATTTGGAATTCGCTTTACCAGTGTCTACTAAGGTTTTGGCGACGTTTTTCGTCAATTGTAGTAAGTGTGGTGCAAAAGTATTAAATTCTCCGAATAGCATTCAAACTCACAATGACCGTCATTTTGCTCATCAAATTAGTCAGCAACAACGACTTGAATTTAGAGAAGAATTTCGAATGAAAATTAATTCTGCCAAATCCCCGATCAATAATTCCAGAATAAAAGGAAAACAAATACCTAAGAAAAATACTAACAAGCTGTCTGATATAACGAAATTTTTGAAACCATCTAGTTCGACGGCATCTAAAAATATTTTAAATGATGGAAGTGTGTCAAACGAAAGTTTGATTGAAATATGCAGTATTTGCAACGCACATATAAAATGTGAGGAATTAACGGAACATAAAGATTTTCATCTAGCCAAACAATTGCAGAAGGAATTAAACAAATTGGATGTTTCCCAAGTAGACCCTATTAAAACTACCTCAGGCACAGCACGTAATAGCCAAAACTCATTATTAAATGCACGCAAGCCTAACGTCATAACAAAGCCCATAACAGCATTCTTTAAACCACCTAATACATAGAACTTTGTCAGCAGGTATACAAATTTCAAATATTTTTATATTTTTGTATGTTTATTCATAGTCATGATCTCGCATTAATTACATTTGTCTTTAAAATATTATTTACTACTTTATAACCTTGAATTTCAATAAAAAAAGTACCTTATATCATACATGAATTTTTACTCGTCTACATTTACAATATTTTTGAATATATAAAAAGAAGTTTAATTTATCGCCAATATACAATACTCATCTTATTTGTGTGTTGTAGAATTTAATAGGCAATTTAATGAATTTCAATCGGAAGAACACTGTAACTGTTTATAACGTTTGAATTATTGTATTTGATGCCATATCCACAATAAAAACATTGACAATATACCTTCATTTTTATTTTCCTATACAAAAATCTTTAAATACTACATCTAATATATCATCTGTACTAACATGACCTGTAATTCGCTCAATATCTTTAATCGCATTTCGTAGTTTTAGTGCAGAAATAGCCATGTCTGGAAACACGTCTGGAGAGTATTCTTCTAGAAATTCTTTAATATGTTCTATACAACGTTCTAAATGTACACGATATCGTGCATGTGTTAAACGTGGTGCTTCTGCTAAGGGGGACCCACAACTGTAAAAATTAGAGTGAAAATATATGCTTCATTGTTTTTTTCAACTGCTACTTACAGTTCTCTAAGTATATTCTCCAACCTGGCCATGAAATCCAGCATGTTATAATTTTCTTTACAGGATATCCCAATAACATTGGGTAAATTTGTCAATGCCTGAACTTCTTCCTTCGAGAGAATATCAATTTTATTCACAATAAGTTGCACGCGTTTTTTTCTAAAGATATTTTGATCCAAATCGAGTTCCTTTAAATATTCAAGGCAATAAGATTCAATCCTACTTCCTGTAAATGAATTCATTCGTTTAAAATGTGCGGCATCCGTTATTAGAAGAATAAGATCGGCATCTTCTGCACTCTTCTTGGTTTTTAGAATGCCTTGTTGTTCAATGGTGTCGGTCGTAAACGATCTGAGCCCGGCAGTGTCAACAATACGCACTGGATAACCGCCGAATGATAATGTTGACTCAATTGCATCGCGCGTTGTGCCAGCTATTGGTGATACAATCGCCACATCCTTTTGGCACAAATAATTTAGAAGACTACTTTTGCCTACGTTTGGTGCTCCAATTATACAGGTGCGAACTCCATCCCTTAGCATTTCGCCTTGTCTCTGGTCATTCAAATGTACAGTAATTTCTTTTTGTAAGTTCTTTAGTTCCTTCGAAAGTTGCACAACAATGTCTTCCTCAATATTTTCGTCTTCACCAAAGTCTATGTACGCTTCCAAATGTGCTGCACAGCGTATCAGGCGTTTTCTCCAGTTGTCATATAAGCGGGAAAGAGAGCCGTTGCTTTGTTGTAAAGCCTAATAGGATGAAGACATCTCAGTTGCACAATTATTATAAAATAAAATTATATATACGTAAAATTTTTCTACATGCCTGTTTTCTTTGAGCCTCTGTTTCTGCATGAATGAGATCAGCTAAACCTTCAACTTCCGTCAGGTCAAGTTTATTCCCAAAGAATGCCCTTTTTGTAAACTCACCAGGATTTGCCGGTCTGAGACCGGATATATGACTTAATGCGTCAAGCATTGCAGATATTACAGCAATCGATCCATGAACCTGAAACTCACAACAATCTTCACCCGTAAAAGACGATGGCCCAGGAAACCATAGAACTAAGCCTTTATCAATCATCTCATTGGTTTTTGGATGATATAAAGCCTTAAGATGTGCATGTCGTTCTTTAAGTTTTACGCTACCGACAATGTTACTGAGACATTTTCTGGTCTGCGGCCCTGACACTCGAATTACTGAAACACCACATTTGCCATAAGCCGAGCTAAGGGCATATATCGTTGACGCACTTGCGTATCGTTTTGGTGTAGTTAATTTTAATAATTTTCTAAAAATTAACATACCGGTATGATGTAGATATCAGCTGTTGGAAATGTCTACCCATCTCTGTCAAAATATGTTTTCGCAAGTCAACTGTATTATCATCTGGTTCCTAAGTTTGTTGTCAAAACAATATTAGGTGTGTATCATGGCATAACTACAAGGTAATCGCATGCTCAAAGCTGATTACAATTTTTCAATTTGATTAACTTTGACAACATTCAATTGCCAAACTCATTTTGACAAATGTTGTTAAAATATAACAGTTTTTTATTAAATTATTTTTAAAATCAACAATTCTTCGGGATTTTTTTTATATTACGGAAGAAAATTGTCGTGAGTTTTGATAAATTCAAATGGAATCTATTGTTAACTAAATATAAAATATTTCCAGGTCAGGATGTAAAAGCACTTGAAATACCTCAACTGAAAAAATTAATTGAATATGCCGATTAAAGCAAAGGAGACGGCCAACATATTGAACATCCTTTCTAGCTTGGAAACTAGAGTTGGGTAGTTCCGGGACGAACTAGTTCATTGGAACCAAGGTGTATTTAATAAGGTGTATGCATCAGATACAACAACAAACATTTTACAAAAACAACATTGTTGTTATAGAAATTAAATTGTCATGCTGACAAATAGGTTTTGACAAAAATAAATAAAAACAATTATACATTTCTTCAGGTCCATGGTACAATTATGAAAGGTAACAGCAAATCCCAGCTGATTTGATTCCAACGTAATACTAGTGTCAATATGCATTTGACAAATTATGTTTTTAAAAATCACCCAACAGGAAAATTGGGAACTTATTCAATTCGAAATTGTTCTTTATTAAATGTCCTCCCGTATTCAATTTACTCAATCTGTCTGCTGGAATCGTTTGAGGAAGCAAATCTTTGTTCAAGGAACAACTCGCTATTCCCAGCATTTGCATATGTGTTACACCTATATATGGCAATGGCTCAATTATAGTAAAGATGTGGAAGCGATAGAAATATAAATTTGATATATTTTCATTCATGTTTTTCAATTTTTATTTTGAGGATTCAAAAATATTTCATTTTCAAAATAAAAATAATTTGATGATAATTTGTTCGTTTGTTTACATTTTTCTGTCAAAAGAGTTGACACTAGTAGAACTTACAACAACAAATTTCCATGTGGTTGTTGTATCGTTGTACAACAACACTTGCTGTTACCTTTTATTATTATACCATGATTCAGGTCGAATAATTTTGAAAAGTGTCTCACATGTAAGCCTTTGCTTATATTTTAAAATACAATATAATTTTCGAAGAAGTGGCTTCTTGGTAGAAAAATTGTAGGACATAAATCCCCGGTCAAACACCACAAACCCGTATGTAATCTGTCAATAGACTACGCAACAGAATCTCATTTTAAATTGTAAAAAAAAATTGTATTTAGCCAGGCGTTTGTAGAAAACTAAGTGACAAATTATAATACAAGCTATATAACACCATTTCCTTGATTTTGAGAGAAACAGGTGATTTAGGGGGAGATTTCCTTAACAATCTCCTTTTGGTATTAAATCGATCATAAGAACACACATATACATATGTATATTTGCAATCTGGAACCCAAGTTGTATTTGCGGCCGGATTTAAGCTCACGCTTCCTTGTCGTCACTTGGGACATTAACAAATATTCCGTCCCTATAAATTCATTATTATTGCACTTTTATTAATAAAAAAATAATAATCGAAAACAAAAGACAATATTTTAAATCGAAATGAAACGTTGACAAATATTTTTGACAATTTACTTTACAAACAGTAATACGGCGTTTACATTATAAATATTTACCGGGTTAACCTACTGTATGAAGATTTATTTGACATAAATACAATGGAATTGATAATTTAAACCCACTGGGTTAACGAAATCCGGTTAAATGTAAACGCCGTATAAAGAAAAAAGTTTAAAACCATATGATTTAGTCTTGTGTCGTCATGAACGACCTAGTTCAATTGAACGAGTCAGTCACTGAACGAGTGAACGACATAGTTCATTTTTAATTATTGTCGTTCACTGAACGATTTTGTTTAGAGTCTAAACGCAACCAGAGAGTCACTACTCAGCGTCATACTTTTTCGCCGGCGTGAAAACCAAACGAAAGAGTTAGCGTTAGCGGCACAAAATGTCAATTATTTGTTTTCATTTTCTGACAGAAAATTTTACGTTGTGCAAACCAAAATCAATTTATTATTTAATAAACAATAATGTCAAGGAATTTGGATAAAATTATTGAAAAAATTATTTTTCTTCCATTTTATTAATAATTCATTAAAAAAACATCCACAATCTTTGAAAATATTTGTTTTTTTTTTTAACAGTACTGCCATATGTTTTGATATAAATTCTCATTGAAATTTGGTAGGACTGTTGATTTTTACCTAAAATATGGCAACTCAATTGAGAGCAAGAGAGAAAATTTGAGTATGACGCTGAGCAAAAATGAATAAAATCTATTCTAGCGTCACGCCGCTAGACGCGAACGTCAGACGTCGCGATTTCCCGTTGCCTATAAGAAACACACGGCAAACGACTGTCGCTGACTCTAGACTCTATGGTTGCGTTTAGACTCTTACCGAACTCAGTCGGTCTCTGAACGACTTTGCTCAATGAACGCCGTCGGTCACTGAACGACATTGTATTTTCTTCAACACCTTGAGAGTCTAAACGCAACCAGAGAGTCACGAGTCAGCGTCATACTTTTTCGCCGGCGTGAAAACCAAACGAAAGAGTTAGCGGCACAAAATGTCAATTATTTGTTTTCATTTTCTGACAGAAAATTTTACGTTGTGCAAACCAAAATCAATTTATTATTTAATAAACAATAATGTCAAGGAACTTGATAAAATTATCGAAAAAATAATTTTTCTTCCATTTTATTATTAATTCATTAAAAAACATCCAAAATCTTTGAAAATATTAGTTTTTTTAACAGCACTGCCATATGTTTTGATATAAATTCTCATTGAAATTTGGTAGCACTGCAGATTTTTACCTTAAATATGGCAACTCAATTGAGAGCAAGAGAGAAAATTTGAGTATGACGCTAAACAAAAATGAATTAAATCTATTCTAGCGTCAAGCCGCTAGACGCGAACGTCAGCCGTCGCGATTTCCCGTTGCCTATAAGAAACACACGGCAAAATACGTTAAATTGAATGAAGGTACGTGTAATATATTGTTGTCCCATTTCATGGAATGCGGTGCTTAAAAGATCAAATGCTACAGTAGTGATTTGCGTATAGCTGGAGGGTCAGTAAATAATATGAAACGATATTTAAAACCAAATCACCCTCATAGAAAACCGTGGAGCTGGAAACCACGGAAAATAGCAAAGGTGTCCGGAGCAACAACTGCAGCGCAAACAAGTGTGCTGCCGAATATAACGGAGTTATGCCATCGACCATCACCCATTAACAAAGTGGAGAAAATAGATAGGAAAGTCCTTCGAATGATTGTGAAAGGTAATCATTCATTGCGGTTGGTTGAACTGCCAGAACTTAATTGAACGATATAAGCAACTAAACGAGGTGAACTACCTAGTTCACTTTTAAAAAATGATCTAGTTCGTTCGATCACCGAACTGAACGAGGTTGCCCAAGACTAATATGATTGTCACTTACACCTTGATTGGAACTACTCCGAGAAAGGAACGATCGGAACTAGTTCCAGCTCTTTAATAAATATAGTTCCGATGAAAGAGAGATTCAAAGGAACTATGTAGGAGTCGGAACTATATGGAGCAAAGGAACTGGAGTAAAGGAACTACATTAAGGAAATAGTTCATTTTTAAAAAAAGGAACGAGAAAGGTCGATCCGCTAAGTGAACTAGATTGCCTAGTTCTATTGGAAACACATTCTAAGACATCAATGGATTCTCCAACCGACGGTGTTGTTGATGATGAAAACCACGATTCAAGCTACAAAATCCTACAACACAAAGGATGCCTTTAAGTATACATGTGTGTGTGTATGTAGATATTTTAACGACCAGAAAAATTGAACGGCTAATGTAAAAAACTATTAGTTCATTACAATATGTGTAAAACTAACACGTAACAAAAAAAAAATTCTGATGAAATATATAAGAAATGGTTTGTAAAAAATATATCCATATGACAAGTAAAAAAATTATATTGAATTGTTTGAACCCCCAGCAACAAACGGACAACGATTGCTCAATTTCAAAAATTTGTGGATCTCATGGAACTTTAACCACAATTAGCAACTGACCGTCCTTGAATGGTTTGAAACCATTAATGCTAATGTGTTTATTTTTATATCTCGTTGCATAGTCTCCAATAGAGTTATTGCAAAATAAGGCTAACTCTTGTTATTGTTTACACACAGTTTTTTAACATAAAAAGTGTAAAATTAGAAAATTCAAAATGTTGTGTACAATTGCAAATAATTTTAATGATAAAGAAAAGCAAAGTATTCCCCCAAGGAGAATACACCATGCTACACAATTCAATACAGTTGTTTACTTTTCATAGAAATATATTGTTTACAAACCAATTATATATTTCATCAGAATTTTCCATTTTTGTTACGTTCTTTTCACTAAGAACACGTCATTGCATAATTACAGAAGGTAGTCTCATTTGAGAATTTTATGTGGCAACCCTTTTTAATTTGGAACTCATCTATAAATTTTAAATATAATAGATATCGGATATAAGGAACTCAAAAAAAAACGGAGATTTCTTTCTTATGGAATTATCGAATATAAGAAAGTTGTTTCTTATAAGCGTACATACGCACATAAGAAATCTTTCTTATATAAATATATATTCTCATAACGTAAAATGAATGCAGCATATAAAAATAAAAAATTAAAATCAATTCACAGTTTGACTACAAATAGAATTACAAAAGTATTTTATTTTTCTTTGGACTAGGGAGTTATCACGCTGATGAAATAAAACATTTTCAATGTTGGCCAATAATCTTACATATTTTCTTATATGAAACGTTTTCAA